GCATTTTTCTCAAAGGGGTTATAATACAAAATATCCATGATCCATTTCAAGAAATTCATAAAATCAAGATAGCATATTTAGATGAAAATGTACAGTATAATACCACCTCAAGGAAACCAAATTCTAATGCAAACCTCTCAAACAGAAATAGCCGATTATAAAACAAAATATTTTATTTAAAAACTAGAGAGAACAAATCCTTAGTCCTCTTCAAATTACAATTGTCAACTGTTTAAATCAACTGTTATGCAATGACTGCTTTAAGGATTTTTCTTGACTTCAAACTGAATTTGGCTTTCCCAATTTGCAACAGTGGAGATATTTTCAGCTTAAGCGTGTTCTAACGGATCAACATGGGCCAGATGCTTTGGCTGCCTCAAAGCACCTGAGTTGCTCTCTTAGCGGAATCCACGACAGAGTTAAAACCTGTAATGTTTCTCTACCAAAAGTCCAAGATTATCTGTAAAGTAGACATTTCTGGGATATTTCAAACATGAATTAAAGAACTGGAATCTCCGATAAAGCCCGATCAATGGATTCGTACCCTTAAAAATGTTAAAATGGGATCAACAGATCTGAGATTAAAGTTAATTCATAAAAAAATGTATAGGGTATACTGGACTCCTCAAAGAATGTATTTGAAAGGATTTTCAGATTTTTTATGCTGGAGGTATAAAAAAATTGAGGGTTCACTGACTCATGATATGGTCATGTGATCATTTGGTATCATTTTGGGATAGTGTATTAATGAATAGAAGCAGATTTATGGGACAATCTTTAAATGTTAAAGATGTTAATGTAATGTTGAACTGTATATCAAAGCTTTGGAATCTGTTTATCAGGAATTATGGTTGTATTGAGCATGGGGGATGGCTAAAAGAATCATATTATGAAATTGGAAATGTGATATTATTCCAGATGTCAAGGAATAGTTGTCGGAAATGTGTGATCTATTTTGGAAAAGGGAATATTTCTGCTACTCAGAGGATGTAGCAATATGTGTTACTATTGGAGAGATTTTATGATATTTTACAGTAATATTTTGTACTGATTATAATAGGGTATTTATTAGTAAACCACTGACTATTGTTAGGTATAAAATATAAGGTAGATTTTTTTCCTCTTTTTCTTTTCTTTCTTAGTTTGTATGTTTAGTTTGTTTGGGGTTGTTTCTTTTCTATTTTTAATTTTTTTTTAAGTTTAAAGATTGTTTTATTAATTGTGTATGATTTTTTTAGAAAAATTAAAATAAAATAAATAACAATAGTCAGCCATGAGTACAGTCCACCTCAGACAAGGCCTTTTTCTAAGGCCTACTAATTTTATAGATACTTAGGGTAGGTGAGCAAGGAGTATGTTAAAAATTATCTTAAAACCTGTATAGGGAAATTATCTTCATACAATGCTGAAAAATGGTACAGGTAGACACTTACATTAAAAAGGCTAGCTCTAGCTTAATTCACAATCCTGAAATTCAAAAGAATCACGCTGCAGGGGAAATCCAGCCTTGTGAGCTTTCTATAAATCTTGTCATATTAAGTATTATTCAGTAAAATTGTTTCTCATTAGCAGAGAAGAAAAAAATGTCTTCTTAAATATAGTGAATTTTATAGCTTTGATGCTGTATTAGATGGGTATAAAAAGCTTCGTGTGGTATGCACATTAAAAATCTTTCATTCACAGCTTGATGAAAGTCCCTTGGCTAAATGTGAATGCTTGATCTATTGTTTATTAACAGCCTTATTTCCCTGTCACAAATTAGCACAGAAAAAAAGCAATTTCCTTTGAGACAGGGCAGGAATTGGCTTTGTTAGCTAGCTGTAGAAACAGGATGCATGCATTTATCATAAGCATGCATCACACTTACAAGAACTCTGTTGTCTCCAAGTGACATACATGTCCTCTATTCTTCAGAGATGTGTCCAGATTTCTTTTGACTGGTATCTTCAAAGACAGAAAACAGATTTTTCCAGAGAGCTAAAAATGGCATAGTTGAGGCACATTGCTTTGAGTATTTGCACTTTATCCCACTGTTTCTTTTCATGGTACGTGCAGAATTTTGTATCATTAAAAAAAATCTGTAAAGCCTCTTTGACTAAAAAAATTACAGTGAAACAAAAGAAATCAGTATGTATGCTGTGGGAAATGTTTGCCCATATATAACTGCTTTTATATTTTTTGACTAAAAAACCTTGCATGATCTACCTCTCTATATAAGATGTTACCATCACACACAGAAGAGTCAGTGATAATTAAAATCTTCCAAATGTTTTAATCTATTAATATTGCAGTCCCATCATTGAGCTTTTAAATCATTATTTTTTTGCTGTTTTACTACCTACACTATGCATGCTAGCTGTTTTAATTTCTTAGTTTAAATTTTAAATTATAGTTTAGAATGCTCTGATTAAAAAATTTGGTTCCAAAGGGCACTGTATAACTTTCCACATAAATAAAATCCAGGATTTTACAGATTCTTAAGTCTAACTGTAGTGCAATATTATACATATCTATTCAGTAATCAGCTGTAAAGAATTCAATTTACTTCCTTGAATAATAGCGTTGGGTAAAAGTTTAACTAGGAAACTTCTTGGATCACACCTTAATCTTAATAATATTAATACACACTAGCTCCAGGGTTATGAAATTGCCAATTTTGTGATTACAAATCCTAGGCTCATGCTCAGGGAACCTATAAGCCTCTAGATATTTGTGAACTACAATACCCATCAGCCTTAACTGGAACAGCCAACAAGGATGTATAAGGGCCTTCTCTGCTGTGGCCCCCGCCCTTTGGAACATCTTGCCCCCGGAGGTGAGACAGGCCCCCTCACTCCAGGCCTTTCAGAGGGATTTGAAGACCTGGCTCTACCATCTGGGCTGGGGCGGGGAGAGAGGATATCAGAAATGAGGTTGGCTGGCCCCTTAGCGGCCTAGTGTGGCCCCTATCGGCCTCTTGGATTTTTTAGCTTTTTTATTTTTGTAATGTCTGGTTTTTATAACTTGTAATTGTATTTCTGATTTTAGTTTGTTGTAAGCCGCCCAGAGTCCCCCGCTGTGGGGAGATGGGCGGGGACAAGTCAAACAAACAAACAAACAAACAAAGGAAATTGCAGTCCAAAATAGTTGTCCATTCATGCCATGGAACAATTTTCTGGATTTGTGTGGCACACTGAACTGGTAACTACATGGACTGAGCTTGCACAACATGCTAGGCTAAAATGTTTTTGGCTAGTTTGTTGCTCAGTGTGTTGTATGCAAACAGTGGACAATACTTGGACAACATCAGCTGGGGGAGCTTGATTAGAACAGGATTGGCAACTTGGCACCTATGACACCAAACATTCTTGCGAACACTTCTGATGCCTGCCAGGCTTCCCCTACCATCTGAATGTACTAGTGTATATTTTAAAAAATCTTTTAATTAAAATAAACGGGAATCTGCCATGCTGCAAACCAAAGTACAGCACCCCCAGCAATATCTTTATTTTGCAAAACTGCTGATCCCTAATAGGCTCCAAAGGCATTCTTACAAATGCATTGCTTGGAAGACTGCCCCCATGCCTGAAAACAGGCCATTTCAACGTGGTAGTAAATACTATCATGAGCTGGTAGGCAGGGAAAGCACCAGTTGCCTTCTGGAAGATCTGTGTTCTCTGACTTTTGTCACAGCAACAGCCCTTTGAGGAATAGGCAATCTTACTATGTTATCTGCTTTGTGAGAGTACCTATGTCAATCTCTCCAAATTCCCAAAGCCTCCAGTAGCTCACAAACGTTGCCAGCCTCCCGCTAGTTTGAGGGGCATTAAGTTCATAGCATGTCACAAAGCTGTTGTTGACACGAGGCACTTCGCTATGGTTAACTGAACCATGGTTTACTGAACGGGCCCACTCGCTGGAGCCTGCGCAACGAAAGGAAGCATAAAGGGGCCTCAGTGGATAGGATCGCTGGTCCCCCTGAGGCGTAAATTAGCCCATCGTTTTTTAGTCTCGCCTGCAGTCCAAACCCGGCCCTTTCTTTCTATCCACACCAGCCTCACCTTCCATACGAGGTCGCCCAAAATAACCTCCTGAGGTCTGGCGGTATTTCGCAGAGGACCTCCAGCCTCCCAGGTTCCGAGTCGCTTTCGCCTGAGCGTGGGGCTAGCAGGGTCCCGGTCCCTCCTTGCTGCCCTCTCGGGGTCGCCAGGAGTTGTTCAGCTCAGATCTCTTTCCCCCCCCACCGAAGAGGGCCCGGGGCTTGAAGCCCTTCTGGGAAGCGCGTGTCCTGTCAGTTCGCGAGGGTTTTTCAGCTCCTGCCCAGGTGGGTGCTCCGTGGGGATGCAGTTTCTCGGGAAACCCCCCTTCCCCACCCGCGGCCTTCCCAAACGTTTCTCCCGTTTGATACGAAGCCAGAGAGAAATGCAGGGTTGCGAGCCATCAAACTATTCACGCGTTCGTCGTCCTCAAAATGGAGCCCGTGGCTCGCCAAGGCAGAAAGACGCAGAGGACGAGGGAAAATGCCATTTAATGGGGGGGGGGGGCGCGGTAACATCAAAGAAAATCCCGCAGTAAGAACTGAAGTAGACCCGATGGCCCTTTGGCTCCACAGGGCAACTCGCTCTTTTCGCCCCAAGCTCTCAATCCTAGCGTCCAAACTTCTCTTCCCTACCGCTTAATAGAAGCGGATTAGAGCTGACTTTTAGGGAAAGTCACGGGCAAGGGAGGGCGGCGAGACGCTCCAGGCAGAGGTGGAAAACAGACTGCGGCCCCTTTAAGAGAGGCACGGCGCTCTACCTTTCCCTTTGTACCTGCTTTTTTGAAACGCGCCCTTGCCGCCAGCTCATTGGTTCCGGGAGAAATTATCGCTTCTCCCCGTAACCTGACCCAAGGCGGAAAGTGAAATGCAACCTGAACGCACCAGGCTGGGGCATGGAGAAGAACCGAGCCCGGATCATCGGATTGGCCAATCAGGAGTCAGGGGGAGGAGCCAGGCCCGCTAGTCCCCTCCCTCCGATAAAACTGTGCAGCGGTGGAGGGTCGAGCGGAGCGGTACGCGTAGATAAGCCGCTGTGTTTATTGGATTTCTTTTTTATTTTTGGTCCTTGCTTTTATTTTTCGTGTTGCTTCTCCAAGGTGTATTGCAGATTCTCATCCTGGAGAGTCCTTTCCCATCTTCCTCCCTCCCTCTCGTTTGAAATAGGCGGTGCCTTGTTCTAAGCTCTCAGTTCCTTTTTGATGGTTGTTCTGAAAATTTAAATGCAGTTTACAAAGAGACTGACATCATCCGGAGGGCTGTCTTAGAACTAAAAGCATAAAAAAAGAGGAGGAAGAATCAGTTCTTAAAAATTGCATTTTATTTTATTCTTACTAACTCTTTAATTGCTGCGGACGGAGGGGTTGGATCACTGAAACTAGAACCTGACCTTTTCTCAACCTTATATGTATAGCTTTTATCTGTTGGAAATCTAGGCGGTGTGGATACTGAACCCAAGCAGGTTGATCTTTAAGCTAACAGCTTCCTTCTCTTTGCTGCGGCTGTGCTAGCCTTGGGTAAGTTGACTTGCTTCACTTTTGCGAGGCTTTTAAAAAATAAATATGAAGCTTTGGGTGCTCATTCTTTCTCATTTTTATTTTATTTAGGTATGGGAGTTGTAAGGCACAGAAAACATTTTACAGAAATGAATGGATTTACAGATTTTTGTGATCTTGTCCTCCCTGAAGAATTGTAGGATTTTTTTAAAATACACAATTAAATTCCAAAATGTTGCAGTGAATATTAAACTTACAGATTATTTAAAATATATTCTTTGAAAAGAACAGTTTGTGTCTCTTGTCTCCCTCCAAAGGGGAAGTAGAATATAAATATGGCAAAAAATTCTGTGGAGGGGTCAAAGGAAGACCTGAGCAAAATGACAGAAGAAGATCTGTTGAGATGGAGCAAAGAAGAATTGGTGAAAAGGTTGAAGAAAGTAGAGAATGAAAAAATGAACTTGATGGTGGAGCATAGCAACTTGATGAAAGATGTGAACCGAAGACTGCAGGTTCACCTGCATGAGATCAGGGGTTTAAAAGAAGTTAATCAGAAGCTGCAGGATGATAACCATGAACTGAGGGAGCTCTGCTGTTTCCTGGATGATGACAGGCAAAAGGGGAAAAAGCTGTCCAGAGAATGGCAGAGGTTTGGGAGACACACTGCAGGTGTAATGTGGAAGGAAGTTGGAATGTACCAGCAGAAGCTGAAAGAGCTGGAGGCTAAGCAAGAATCCCTCATGAGAGAGAATGTTGAGCTGAAGGAGATCGTGCTGATGCTGGATGAAGAGAGGAATGGGGCAGGCTCCCGAAGTTCCATAGATAGCCAAGCTAGTCTCACCAACCTCAATGGGGGTTCTGGAACCAGGGATGTTGGAGATGGGAGTAGTACATCTAGCACTGGCAGTGCAGGAAGTCCAGATCACCACCACCATCTCCTTCACCATCACAAAGTTGTGGAAAACAAAGCTGGAGCTATCCGGAGATCTATGGATGACCTTTCTGCTCCTCTTCACCACAGGAGCATCCCCAATGGTCTCAATGGTAGGTCCTGGTTTCCAATCAATGAATTGTTTTTCTGTATAAGAAATAAGTTGGCTTCCAGACATTTTGCTGAGGTGACCCATCAGTGGAATTCTGACTTTATTTAAAGCTTGTAGATCTTGCCTTGCAGCTAAAAGTTTTCCTCACACTTACAGCTTGCTTATAGCTCACCTGCTCTTCTAGCAATCTCATACAGTAAAAGAGTGGATCTTGCTTCACCTGTTTTATGCATGCTTATATGAAAATCTAACCCATAGCCACTTATTACTGGTCATTTATAGTTTTGTTTAATTAACAAAGCACAGGACTTAATCTAATCTGTGTCTCCACTAGCACATTTAACTGAAAGCACAATGGCTATATCTTTGTGTAGTAGTATTGGCCTTTCATTTAAGACCTCCTCCTCCTCCTCCTCCTCCTTCTTCTAATATGGTCTTGTTTCTGCCTCAAACCCTTGGACAAGCTACACTCTGATTTTGAACTGCTAAGGTTTAGTTATCTGCAAAAATAAGTTACCTTTTCCTGTGATCTTGCCAAGTTCAATTCATTAGCTTGCATAGATGTACTTTGGGATGGAAGATACCACAGTATACATCTCCACTTGGTGGAGATGAGTACAGGGCAGCAATGAGAACTGACCTGCTGGGCTCAGGTGATGGCATTTTGGATTTTAATCAAAAGTAGTTTTTCCCTTGGTTGACCGTAAAACATTAATTTGCAACTAATGATACTTATTCACATTACTGCCAAATGCTTTTAATTACATAATTTGTGTGAAGACTTTTGTCATTTTTGTGTTCTACCCCCCCCCCCCGAACTAGCTTAATAAATGAACTATTTGTGGCCTAAAGAAACACAGGTTATCTTTTCTTTTTAGAAAAAAACAAAAACCTTTCCTCCTCCATCTTTCTGTGTTTGGCTATGTTGCTATGCTGCTGACTTGATAAAATGGATGGCCCTAATACTGGGGATAGTGATATTAATAAAATAAAATGGATGGCTCTAATACTGGGGATAGTGGTATTAAAGCCATTAGCTGTCACAGTGGGTAAAAACACTACTTGTTGTTCATTGTTTAGCAGGATGACTACCTCTGAGTAATATTAGTGTCAAAACCTTGTTGGTATGTTTTGCATAATATAATATACAATAATATTGTATAATCTTATGTGTTTTAAGGTTCAATGTTGTAATTATCAGATTGTTTGATAATGAATGTATTCAAATATTTTTAGGGTTATTGAGTGAGACTGAACTGATTTCAGAATTGTTCTACTTATTTTATATACTTCTCTATATTTGGAGCTCATCCTGCTGGAGGCCTCAGAGTTACAGAGCTCAGTAACAGACAACAGTAGGATAGGCATGTGGGCATGTGACTTGCGTTGTGTATGTTGAATAGCCAGCTAGAATTCTGTTTTTTAAAGTTTTACCTATAGCTTTTTGAATCTTTTTCAAATAAAACTTATTTCTTAGAAGTTGTTCAAACGACTGCGTTTTCATCGAGTAAGACTTCCATAAAATTAGGGTATTTTTTAAAATTTTATCTTTGCTTTCTGGACTTTGCATGCAGATGACATGGAGAGATTGATTTCTTCAGGGCAACTAAATGAATTGAGATTTTTAGGCTTATGGCTAGAGTTTTTGAGTGGATTTAAGGATTACATCAAGGATTGATAATTGTATGTAGCTTAGTGTTGCATTGCCATTAAATAAAAAACCCTGACCTTTTGCTGTGTTCCTTTGGTAATAAAGCCACACTAACTATATTTCTGGGCAATGCTGGATCATGGCTTAGTGTTCTGAGGTGATTCTTAGTAAATCTTATACATGTTTTAAAAAATTTAGATAAAAGATACAGAAAGAAAGGATAAAAAATGGAAAAGAACAAAAAAATAGAAAGTAGGTCAGTTTTTAAAAACAGAATTAAACTTTGACCACATGGACTAATATTGATCAGTCTTTCCATTACATCAATAGAGAACCAGTTGATAAGCCGAGGGTAGTATGTATCATTAGTCAGAGATTGCAAAGCTGGGGTGACAACAACTCTCCATTGTAAAAAAGTTTTTTTTTCTGTGATGTCCTGTGCTCAACTAATTTATAATGACAGATTCCAAATTTTTGCTATAGAATTCAGAATTACATTCACATTTTTAAATTGTATTACTCTTCCCAAAACTTATGAATATTACACCAAAATGAGACAAACCTATATTGTATACCTAAATGTCTCCTCCATCATTTTAGGCTTCCAATATAACAAATATAACAGCAAACCCTTTTGAAGTGGTCCACTAAACCTGAAAAAAATGTATTAATCCTGTCTTTAAATCATAAGACACAATTAAGGCCTTTAACCATTGATTTGTGACAAAGGGATATTCCAACTCTTCATTCCAAATTTCTAGTGAAAAACGAATATCTATCTCAACAATACCTGTTAATTGTCTGTTAAAAACACAGTAAATTTGGATTCATGCAGGACACATTATAATGCTGATAGTAATTCAGGAGTTTTAGATGCTGTTAATATATCTATAGCAAATATGAAATCAGAAGTTGCTTTTATTGAATAGTTTGTCATTCCTCAGTTTTAAACAATCCAAATTTCTCTTGCATCTTAAATGATTTAAAAACTTGATTGATAATTAGAAAAAAATCAGATTTTTCCACATCCAGCAAGATCAGTGTTGCTAATTCCAGTTTTTCTGAATGTATATCTAGAGTATCAATTAAAAATCTAATAGGATGTCACCCTTATATGAAACCAGACTGGGCAGGATGGACAGTTGAAAGTAATACTGTCTGAGGTCTGTGTGCCAGGGCAGTTATCAAAATGTTAGCATCAACATTTAACAACAAAATGGGCAAATAGCTCGCACAGCCAGCAGAATCTTTACCAGCAGAATAAAATTACTCATTAAAGGAAACTGGAAAAACTTTTTTCGAAAAAGTAAATTATAAACCTCTTAACAATCTGGGGGCAAAAAAAATCAATATACAGTGGTACCTCTACTTACGAACACCCCTACTTACGAATTTTTCGAGATACGATCAGCTCCGGCCCCCAAAATTTACCTCTACTTACGAACTTGCATCGACTTACGAACCGGATCTGCAGCCATTTTCCGCCCGTTCCACGTGCTCCGCGGCCATTTTTCCGCCCGTGCTACGTGGTCCGCGGCCGTTTTTCCGCCCTGCCGCATGGTCCGTGGCCATTTTCCACCCGTTCCACGTGGTCTGCGGCCATTTTTCCACCCCTGTGGTCCGTGGCCGTTTTTCCACCCTGCCGCATGGTCAGCGGCCGTTTTTCCTCCCCTGATGCGTGGTCCGCAGACGCCGGAATGA